ACCGCTGTCTGCTCTACCCCCTCGCAGTGCACACTAAAGCACTAGGCTGTGGAGGGGAGGGAGCTGCTGGCTCAGGCTGTCAACGGATCTGTAAGCACTGATCAGATGCTGGTTTTCCAGCATGCTGGTTCGTTAAAAGCTGGTATTTTGACCGGCTTCTGTCAGACAGGTTAATGTACACATGGGTTGAATATCGACCAGTTTCTGTTGAACCAGTCAATATCGGCCAATATTCGGCCCGTGTGTACCATCCTTTAGAATCGCTCTAATATATTACATCTTAGAAAAGAAGCTCTGGCTTATCTCTGATTGTGCTTTTCTGACATGGAAAGCAACAAAGGGAAAAAAAAGCAGAATAACCTGGTTTTTGGTGCTTCAAGAATGCAGATTAGTGGTGGAGCATAAATCATCAAAATGCTAATGGCCTTTCCATGATGCATTATTTTGGATCTGCTGCTTGCCTCCACCTCCTCCGGGTTGAGGTGGGGGGAGGGGACTATGTACTGGCCCAAAGGAATGCTTCTTGGATGGCAGGTATATATATATATATATATATATATTTATATATATATATATATATATATATATAGCCTTTTTGGTGCCTCAGGTAATGAGCTCTTTAAGACACAGCAGGGGTTGATGAAATAGAGGACTGGTAAGGAAGTAGGGAGTAGAGAGAAAAAAAGAGAGAATGACGACAGAATTACTGATTGTTGTACGTCTGTAAATTTGGTTACACACGTTAGAAAGCTCTACTGCTAGCTGGACTTTGTGGTGCCTCTATATGTGGACTAGGGATGAGCTTGGGTTCGGTTGCAGTTTTCATCCAATGGTCCCATGGTCGACTAGACAGTGCTGAGTTAATGAGCTGCAGTGGGGGATTCCCCACCCTGCAGCTGCAAGTGCACAAGGTGGGAATGCTCATGACATCATTCTAATATGGTCACATGGTTATTGATTTTGTATGGCCATAGAGCCAAATTAGGTCAATGATGTCACAAGCATCCCTGCCCCTTTGTGTACGTGCATCTGTGGGGTAAGGACAGGGGCGGACTGACAACTCATGGGGTCCCCGGGCAATAGGGGATCATGGGGCCCCTGTGTCCTTGCCCAAACTCAAAAAAGCCTATGAAAAAGGTACCAGAGGCATCTCATGGGGCCCCCTAATGACCCCGGGCCCTCGGGCAGTGCCCGAGTTTTCAAATGGTTAGTCCGCCCCTGGGTAAGGAAACCGTGCCCCCCTCCTCCCATAGTTCATTGGCCCAGGAATTGACAGCCAAACCCAAGCTCATCACTACTGGGAACATTGTTAGTCTTCCCGGCTGAAGTGAGCACATTTCTTTTACGTTATTGGGAATACGGTAACCTAGCAAGAGATGCATTGATATGGGTTCTTGTTTCTTGGAACAAACCTTTTACATTTTAATAAAGGGCTAGTTTATTTCAAGAAGCTTGTATCCTGAGATCCAACTAATCCCCCAAATGTCACACCATGAAAACACGTAGCATCGGTGTGGCTGCCATACTCCTTGTTATTCTCTTTACAAGACTTTGGAGACTTTGTACTGCATCATATATGTCACCTTACATATATCAGTCTGTGAATGGGACTGATGGATCACTAATGATCATGCAGATTATTCTGACATCTGCGTTACAATGTGTGGCCTTTTGGGATTATACATATGTGATTGCTAGTCCACAGTTGGGTAAAGAGAAATGCATGTACTTCCTCATGCCCTGCAATTCCTCCTAGAGCTACTTTGCTGTTTTTAGAGCTTTAAATACATTTTTTGTTACCTTTTCTTTGCTTATGGAGAAAGCCATTTTTACAGCACTACCGCTAGTTCCCCATGTTTGAGTGCATGAGCTGTTACTTATTTTGTTATATGTGCTGTGTTGTATTTAGGATATACAGTTGCAAGAAAAAGTATGTGAACCCCTTGGGATTACATGGAGTTTTGCATGAATTGGGCTTGTTGAAGGGGGCTATACGTTATTACCAGAGATGTGCATGAGGGGAAAATTTGTTTTGTTTCGAGCTCATTTGTTAAGTTAATCATTTTGTTTCGTCATATTCATTATGTTAAAATGATTTGTTTTCAGAATTTGTTTCATGTATTCAGATTTATTATGAATATTCTTTATTTTCAAATCGATTGGAGATTCAAATTTCTGAATTCGAATTTTGGAAGACAGATATATTCATTCTATTTCTTTTCTGTTCTATTCTATACTTTTATTTTCTATACTATTCTATTATTTTATTTTATATTTTATATTATTCCTTTATTTTATTTATTTATTTCAGGTACCTATATTACGCCGTCAATTACGCAGCTCTTTACATATATATATATATTGTACATTTGCCCTAACCCTCAAGGTCCCTAACTCACATTCATACATACACATACTAGGGACAATTTAGACAGGAGCCAATGAACCTACCAGCATGTCTTTGGAGTGTGGGGAGAAATCCAAAGAACAAAGGTATACCGCTCAGGCAAACAATCCAGATCAATCCACAACAGGTGCAGGCTCTGGCTCGCCACCACACACGATGCAATAGGAAGAAGGGTCAGACGCACACCGGAGGATAGATGAATATAGTGCAGGGGGCGGACTGACAACTCATGGGGCCCCTGGGCAATAGGGGATCATGGGGCCCCTGTGTCCTTGCCCAAACTCAAAAAAGCCTATGAAAAAGGTACCAGGAGCATCTCATGGGGCCCCCTACTAACCCCCCGGGCAATAGCTGATCATGGGGCCCCTGTGTCCTTGCCCAAACTCAAAAAAGCCTATGAAAAAGTTACCAGGGGCATCTCATGGGGCCGCCTACTGACCCCGGGCAGTGCCCGAGTTTCTAAATGGTCAGTCTGATATAGTGTGTATATAACCCCTGATATAGTGTGTATTTATTGATCCATAGGACACACACAAAACACCAGGACATGAATACGGGACCTGTAAATGCATTTCACACGATCTTGTGATTAATCGAGTGTGGGAGGAAACCAGAGTACCTGGAAGAAACCGACGCAGGCATAGGGAGAACATGCAAACTCCAGGCAGGAGGTGCCAAGGTTGGGATTCGAACAATGACCCTAGTACTGCCAGGCGGAAGTGCTAACCATTTAGCCACACTGTGCTGCCCATTTTCTATTCTATTCTGTTTTACTCTATTCTATATTATGCTTTTCTATTCTGTTTTATTCTATTCTGTTCCTTTATTTTCTATTCCATTCTGTTCTATTCTATTCCTTAATATTCTATTCTATTTTATTATTTTCTATTCTGTTCTACACAGCAGCCTAAGTAGGAATCACCACCTATTTTCAATGTATTTATTGCAATATGTCTCCTTCCAGTTCAAAATAAGTTTTTGAATTTGAATTCATTCTCACATTCAATATTGATACTTTGTTTTGTTATCATTTATTTTGGATTCCTATTGTGATTCAGAAATTCAGCTACATCCGAATCTCTGAATAACGAAAAGTGTGAATTTCGATTCATAATGAAATGAATTGTACATGTCTAGTTATTTAATTTGTCACTTCTGACAAGTTTTCCTGATACCAAGAGAAAAAAGGTGACAGGGGAGGGGCTCCAGGAGACTGACAACTTCAGCTCTGTTCCTGGGTGCTGTGTAGAGGGGGGGTGTCCCTTTCCTCCAATCAGCATGCAAGTGTACAATCCAAACGAACACGCTCCTGCAGAAAAAAATGGCTGTGTGTATAGGCGGGTGCTGCAGCGACCATCGCCTGCACATCCGATTATTGTTTTATGGTTTATTTATTTTCACACTTTGTAATGTTTCTGTTTACATTGATTTGAATGCATTTTTGGAGAAAACATGACATGGGGCGGGGCCAGGCTCATTTCACTTCACTCTGATTGGTGGATGGTTTTCTTAAATAGTTCTCCATTTTCTGTCACAATTTGTCACATGCCTGATGAAGGGGTCCTGTGAGACTCCGAAACGTTGCCTTGCTGTAACTATGTGATCGTTCATTAAAACATTTGGACCCATATTGGTGATCCTCTGTGTGCTGGTGACATTCTCCCTTTCCTCCAATCAGCTCTCAGAGCTCTCCTCACTAATCTCCGCTCAGTGTAATTTTAGCTCTCCACCCCCCTTTTTTCTGAACTCTCAGACAAGCTTTGTAGAAAGATTTGTTTCATCGCTGTATATCACCTGAGGCCAGGTAGTGAGCCTGCAGGCTTGCCACCATAGGAAGCGACTTCTTATAGTGGCACACAAAGAAGAGCCCAGAGCACTGGCAGGGTACCCCAGAAGAGGAGTTTTTGGGCTGCTCTGTGCAGTACTATACTTGGTAAGTATACTATGTTTATTGTTTTACAAAAAAAAAAAAACACCATTTACAACAGCTTTAATACATAGAATGCCGCAAGGTTACAAAACATCTGATTTTAGATGCAAAGCCGCTGTCACAGAAATAGCTTCTTCCTCCCTGATGATCAGAATTAATAGCATGCAGGAAATATGCAACCTTTCTGTCAGGTAATAATTCAATTTCAGGTGAGCTGCGTTATAGAGGAGAGGCTGTCATCAGCACTGACTCATCTGATAAAAGCCTTGTCAGTATGACGACTGTTCCCAGCCAGAGGGTAATGTCACATAGAAAAGCACAGAGGATTCTGTTATCGCTGGTGTAGTAACTGCTGGATGTAATTAAACTATAATTGCCAATCAAAGGCAGTTTAATTGTAGCAATAAGTGACATCTGCATGTGTGAGGTCTCACGTAATCCCTCTACAGAGGCTCACTGATGGTTTTATATCAACTCTAAAAATGACACCTGGCATCTGATTCTCTCGGGTGCGTTCTACATAAAAAGCTCAGCCTGGTTTGATTCTTAACCAGTTGCCCTCCAGAGGATTTACCCCCCTTTCTGACCAGGCCATTTTTTGCGATACGGCGCTGCGTTACTCTAACCTCCCTGGCGGTATTCCCGAGTATAGCTCGGGGTAAAATTTCAGTACCAAGAGCGGTAACCCCAAGCTACACTTGGGCTTACCATGCGGCGTTGCTCAAGGAGTCCCTGCAGCACTTACCTTGTCCTTCGCTCCCGCGATGTGTCCCCTGCAGCGTCCCCGGCCATCTCCTCCGGCCGATGCCGGCATCCGGCTTCCGTGTTCCGGTCCCTGTGACGTCGGGAACCGGCGGCAAATCTGACATTTTTAAAAAATTTTATTTTTTTTAAAATGATTATTATATAGTAAAACATTGCTGTTTCAATAACTAATATATTCATTGACTTAAACCCAAAACCCACAGGTACAGTGAAAAATCAAGTCCCAAAGGAATTACCCAAAAGATTATGCAAAAATAAAAACAATCTCAAAATAAAAATAAAAAAATATACATAAATAAAATAAAGTCCCAACACACAAAGTGTCCAAATAATGTGTCCAAACTAAGATCAGTTCTTGATAGGAAGACGCTTCCTACTCCACTGAAGAAGATGAAAATCAATCACAGGTGCTCTTCAAGTACCTAAAAAAAACTAAATCTAAACATAGTATATTACCTTTTAAATACCAGAACTAAAGTGCCACACGTGTACCATGCAAAAAAAAACACTCCAGTGTCACAGCACTCATGTGAGAAGTAAATGAATAAAATATCACTGCAAACTATATATAAAGTGCATAATTACCCTAAATCAAAAAAATTTCAGCTTGTAATCAACCACATATGTACAGAGTGTCCTTAGATTGGTATCCTCTTGTTCCTTAGGACCTTATAAACAGACCAGGAATCAGTATGTGAATTACAATCATATATAAAATGTATTGTAGCCACTTACATATAAAAACGATAAAATCAGCAAATCAGCATCCAACTCCTAATGACCAGTATACGATCCCCTTTCCATGTGTAGAAGGTCTCCCGATCACCAGGTAATTCCCCCTTGCCACTCCTGTCCAGCACTATCACTTTTTTGCTCTGGGGGACACCTGAAGTGTACCGTTACTCTCCAGACCTCCGACACACAGGGGTTCCAGAATCCAAAATGGCTGCCGCGGCACTTCCGGGAACGTCAATACGTCACGTGCCCTGGACGCGTTTCGTCACTTCCGGACTTTGTCAACAAGGATTGCTGTTTCAATGCATTTCACATATATTTTGTCCCTACTGCTTTGTCCTGTGCCCTGCCTGCATTTTTACTGTTCTTTCTGCCTGGAAACTTAGAAAAGTCCATGGCGTCCAAAAAGCGCCCCTTTACGTCAAACGCGGTTTTAGACCAGCTAGAGAACAGCGATAGTAAATCAGAACCACTTGCAGAATTGAGTGATAATGATTTATGGGGAAATTCGTCAACAGGCACTGAAAACGATTTTGCGACTTTGCTCAGCGATGTGTGAATTTGCCTCTGTAATTCAAATTTCAGTGTTTTTGGTTTGATTATATTATTGAATTAAATATATTATTATTATATTATTATTTTTTTATGATTATTTATTAAATTATAATTTATGATTTCGTGATTCAAGTTTTATCATATCCGGAATGTTTACTAGACTCTTGTTCGGACAGATTTCAGTGAGTTATTCCTAAAAATTACAGCCTACAAAAAAAACTACATATTTTCATGCAAAAAAAATTTATCGCTTTCAGCACAAAAAATCGGAAATAATCAGACCGCCGAGGAGGTTAACTGACAATTGTGCGGTCATGCAGCGCTGCCCCCAAATGAAATTTACGTCCTTTTCCCCCACAAATAGAGCTTTCTTTCTATGGTATTTGATCGCCTGTGCATTTTGTGCGCTATAAACAAAAAAAGACTGACAATTTTGAGAAAAAAAAATATTTTTTACTTTTTGCCATTAACCTCTTCATGCCAGCCGCACACAAATGTGCGGCCTCCCGGCGTCTGGGGCTGGACAACGAGCGGCCGCACATTTGTGTGCAATTAACAAAAACATATGTGCTGAGAGCGCGCGCCCTGCACGCTCCCAGCACACATGTACTCAAGGAAGGGTCCCGATCTCCTCTTTCGATCGGGACCTTTCCCGATCATGTGACCGCCGTGACGGCGAATCACATGCCCCTAAAACCCCGCCCTGCCTCCCGGCTTCTGAAATCCTTAAATGGCCAGGAGGTGTGCCGGCGTCAAGGGGTTAAACATGTCCAGTAAAAAAATTAAAAACAAGTTTCGTCCTAAATTTGGCCAAAATGTATTCTGCTACACGACTTTGCTAAAAAAAAATACCAATACGTGTAAATTAATTGTAACATAGAAATCGGTATCCAAAATTAAATCTATAATAAACTGTGATATAATAAACTGTGATATAATAAACACCCCATGTATTGACACTTAAAAGTCCCACTTTCACCCTTGAAAGTCCAAAATTGTAAATAATAAACCTTTCTAGTGTCAGTGAAAATATTCAAAAACTCCAAAAATTCCAAAAATGATTCATCCACGTTCTGATTCATAATCTCTGTGTATCTCCAAAAATGCAGTATACCTCCAAAAGAAAAAAAAAACTGGATAGTGTATTATCCTCAATAAATAAATGTTTTCTAATGAAGTGAGGATCCACTGGATTACTATCTCTGGAGGCTTTTATAATACTTATTTAGGGTAAGGGTATGTAATTCAGTCACTTAGATGTGTTCACAGAGGAATGTGTATATAGAAGTGTACACAGAGTGCTTCACTATCTCACGTGTTTTTCACGTTTTTGTGGTTTTTTTTGTTTGCACAAAAAGTTTTCCTTTTGGATTCAAATATATTTAAATATGATTTAATCACTGTGTAAATTAATTGGTTTATGTGAAAGTTATAGCATCTACAAATGGTGGTATATATACTGGAATTTTTTTTTTTCTACTAGTAATGGTGACAATCAGCAACTTATAGCGGGACTACGGCAGGCATTCTGAGACTGGGGGGAAACTGACTTGGTGTCATTGACATCCCCAGTGACACCAATACAGTGATCAGTGCTAATAAAAAGCACTGTACTAATGGCACTGGGCAGGAAGGGGTTAACATGTGGGACAATCAAAGGGTTAACTGTGTGCTGTTTCACAGTATGCTGTGTGTGTGCTTTACACTGTAAGCACACTGTGTTGTATGGTTTTGCTATGCAGAGCCATACAAAGCAATGTGCAGGAGCTGACAGGGGAGAGATCTGTGTTGTTTATACATAGGTCTCTCTCCCGTTGGAGATACTCGGCGATCACCAGGTGTCGGCGAGTAATTATCGACTAGGACTTGGTGATTGACAACCAAGGCCCCTTCCCGGAACTGCAAAATCATGTATATATACGTCTTTCTGTGAAGGTGTCAGTTAGTGGTATGAGCGGCAAGAAGGTGTCATTAGTGGTATGAGAAGTGCCTAGGTGTCAGTTAGTGGTATGAGAGGTGCCTAGGTGTCAGTTAGTGGTATGAGTGGTGTGAAGGTATCAGTTAGTGGTATGAGTGGTGTGAAGGTATCAGTTAGTGGTATGAGCTGTGCCTAGATGTCTGTTAGTGGTATGAGTGGTGTGAAGGTGTCAGTTAGTGGTATGAGCGTTGCCTAGGTGCCAGTTAGTGGTATGAGAGGTGCCTAGTTGTCAGTTAGTGGTATGAGTGGTGTGAAGGTGTCAGTTAGTGGTATGGGCAGTGTGAAGGTGTCAGTTAGTGGTATGAGCAGTGTGAAGGTGTCAGTTACCACAGAGTCAGTCACCTGGCAGTCTCTGTCAGCCCCACCCAATAGTATACATGGTATACACAGTAGTAGGATGGAGATCAGTCACCAGGCCTGGTGGAGGGGCAGAGACCGAGGGGGGGAGTCATGTACTGCTGGTAAGTATCCTCCTCACAGTCGCATTTCCCTTCCTCTTCCATCTCTGTGACAGAGATCCCTGCCTCCCCTGGACACTGCCGTCCTCCGGTATCATCACTCAGCCCTGGCTCTCCACCACCATCCACTGCGGAGAGCTCTGACCCTCAGAGCAGCATACAGCCTAGCCGGGGCGCACTGCATGCTGGGAGTTGTAGTCTTTCCCACGCACTGCCTGCTGGGATTGTACTTCGCTCCTGTGGAGGCGGCAGGTCGGAGGCGGGGGAAGGACTACAACTCCCAGCATGCAGTGCCCCCGGCCAGGCTGTAGGCTGCTCTGAGGGTTGGAGCTCCCACAGCTCTCTGTAGTGGATGGTGATAGGGACCCAGGACTGAGTGATGATCCCGGAGGATGGCAGTGTCCAGAGGAGGCCTGATACTCCCACTATTAACTACTGGTTTAATTCCTCATTTAAACCAATTTGAAATACCTGCAAAATCAAAATTTTCTTCAAATTGATTGTGCATAACGAAACTCATTTACTTAGAAGTTACAGAAGATAAGGCGGAAACTTGCAGAATGAATGAAGCATCTCACATTGAGGACAATACATCTATTTTTCAAGAGAGAAAAGTTACTATAAAAGTTGTAGGAGAGTTACATTCTGTATGGCTGCAGAGTGGGTGTTAGAAAGCTCATACATCCATCACATGAGAAAGCAACAAACTACATACTCTTCCAAGTATGGTAATTGTCATTTCCATCCATGATAACCTTAATGGTGGAACTAAGACTGATTAAATGGGTTTATGCAATTCAACTGGATAACTAGTGTCTAACACACTGTAGATTCATGTTAGTTTCATTCATAATAAAATAGATGATCACACAAATGTCAATCCCCTTGGTTCCTTGCAGCTCTTAGTGGTTCCTCCTGATGAACTCCTTGTCCCTTCTGTACCCTGCAGTGATATGTAAGTTTTTTGGGACCACTGATAAGATTTTTCTATTATGTTTTACGTGTTCTTTGTCCCTGTAAAGGAGATTTCCCATCATTTCCTGTTCCATCTGTATTCATCACTTGCCTCTTCCAATATGTGGCCCAGAGGTGCTGGGAACCATGGGTCCACTGACATCAAAGTTATTGTTGCACTCACTGACACTAATGTTCTCATTGTCATTGTTCTCCAACTTCTTCAGTCTGCATCATGGTAATTTCCAAAAATGCAGCAGGGCCAAAATTTTTGGATGCTGGGGTGCAAAAAATGCTGCTATCATGGAAGTGTTGGGGGCCATTCTGGAGGTTCTCTATAATTTTCAAGTTAACCACCACTGACCTAGACGGCTGTGAAATGAGATCCAGATGATCGAAAGTCTGTTAAAAGCTAGCCATACTTTCATAGAAAGGGAACGTTCTAAGAAAATGTGTTCCTTTTTTTAATCATTAGTGACTCAAAATGATGCAGTGACAGGAAAGTTCGAAGGAGCAGGATGGGAAGGAGCAGGTTCTAAAGGCTGAAGGTTTTTTATCTTAATGCATTCTCTGCATTAAGGTCAAAAAACGTTCTGAGTGCAGTGAACCCCCCAGCCTCCCATTATACTTATCTGAGCCTGATCTCGATCCAGCGATATGCACAAGAGCAGCAGCTCTTGCTACAAGACAAGTTTGGGCGAACGGAGAAGATTTCAGATTTGATTTATCAATTCAAACATGTCTTTCAACACGGGGGTAAACGCTTGTCTGAGTATCAGATGACTAAATAACATGCTGTACAAAATAGTGCTAAAGAAAGGAGTGGAACTTACAGCCATAGAGCAAGCCAGAATGAAGCAGATTCCAAGAGGTGCTCTACACTCCGATCCAGTGTGGATCCAATTAAAGACATCAGTAAATGATAAGTCACTAAAATATCCCACGCTCATTAGAACAGTGAGAGAGGAAGAAGCTCTGTTGGAGAAAAATTGAATTGCCAACATCAAACCAAAGCAAGCAATTAAGAAAGAGGTCTTCAGGTGCCCAACTCAAGTAGGAGATCCCTTCTCAGAGAATGATGATGAGTCAGATACCGAGCTACTGAGAGACTACATCCCAAACCCCATCTAACCCCCATATTGGCCTAGGTAGTGCAGGCACAGCTTGAGATGCATAAGACAGTAAGGACTGGTTCACACCAATGCATTTTTTAGTGCTTTTTGCAGAAAAGCACTACAGTCCATTTAACATGGTTTCCTATGGGACACTTTCACATCTATGCATTTTTGAAAAGGGTCAGGGACTTTTTTAAATGCCAAATGCTGCATTTTTGGTTCAATAGACTTTAATGGAGATGCTGTAGAAAACACACGTAGTGTGTTTTTTATGTGTTTTTGATGCTTTTTTCCTTTTTAATATGCCCAACAA